CTCAGTGAGCCTGGCTCACTGAGATATTTTGTGTCCAGTGTGCTATGGGTCTGGAACCCAGGCTATAATTTACACCAGCGGGCGAAGGGCTCTTGCGGCCCGGAAAACGAGTTCTGGCTTCCAGGGTAACGGATTACAAACATTTGCTTTTCTAGATCTGATCGCTGTCTATTATCAATGAGCTACTTGTTATACACCATAAATTGTCATTTGGCACCATGCATGGCATCTTTAGATTCAAAACTTCTATATGATTTACATAAAAAGGAAAGTGAATGAAACTTAATATGCTATCCGATAATTTACACGTTTCTTCAATACCTCCAAATTTACGAAGATTCCACAAGTTTTCTAAAATCAGCGACCGGCATGATTCCTGTAATATGGGGAAACATAACAGAGCTGCGCGTCGACAATGTTAGCCCGGTGTCCAGTCTATCGTGGTTGGGGCGGGTTTTGTTCGGGGCTGCAGGAGCTCTTCCCCGCCCGACTCAGCTAGATTCCCCGGTAGCTATAGGTTTTTCACGACGGGAGATTGATTAGCTTCACCACGAAGACTGGACACCAGGCTACAACATCGTACAACAAATGTGACCACGTCGTTACCGATTAAGTTCAGGCAACACGGGGCATTACGGAATAATTTAATTTGACCAAATATGATAAAACAAACGTACATTCAATATTTCGTCCCAATAACTTAGACTAAACGGTACTTACAGTTCTACAGTCGCTATTTTAAACACTTTCTACGGCAAGTTTATTTACAGCGCTTGGTTGAAAGATTATATATTAGTACAAAATATTGTGAGAACTTGTCACATCTTGTTTCCTATCAGTAAAGCTATGGCTATGTACAACAGGCGAATGCCATGATCTGGTAGGTCGCGTAGGACAGTTATGGCATACTTTCATCTTTGTCTAGTAAACATCGTAAGGATAAAAGAACTAAAAGTTGACTTTGGAAGTCCTGGATTTAAAATGTGATGAAACGTCGATTAAAATCATTAACATCATTTGTCATTTACTGAAATTGTTGGTCTCTGAAAATGAAAATATTTTGCAGACCTCATAACAAATAGTATTTGATTGAGGCTTGATCGCCTTATTTTGAAGTAGCCAGATCGATTTCAGAATGCTGGCGAGTTTTTAACGCGTTTGTAACTGTGGCAAACATCGTTCACTTCCACAACGTTAGCCCTTTATTTAGGAGGGTCGGGGGACGATACCGACTTCAAACCACATTTTCCGTCCATTACATGTCCAGGTTTAGCAACCATAGAAGAAGACGGAAGGTTAACGTTTGATGTAAATTTCGGCAAGTCTGACCTGAAATTCGCTGTGTTGGAAGAAATGTTGCAATAATGCCATTAATGGTATTCACCAACACAGATAAACGTCCTCACTCATAATTTATTTCTTTCTGCTCCCCTGGCATGAACTGGCCGTCGCCCTGTTTGTTTGTTTGCTTATTTTCCTCGGTCTCCTCAGGCGATGTTGGGAGTGTTGTCGGCGTCCCTGTAGTCGGCTAGCGGGATGCCCTTCTTGCAGTACCGCTCGTCCAGCGCCCGGTTCTCCTCCAGATGCGGACCCCACTCAGGCATAGGCTTCATCACGCTCCGTACACGCTGGGGAACAAAACACAGCAAAAAACAGGGTTATGGCCGTTTATTTGTTTGTTTGTTTGTTTGTTTGTTTGTTTGCGCCGTTTGTTCCTCCGCAAATGTCTTGTTATGTAGCCTCGACTGTTCCCAGGGTCGCCTGGCCTTTAGACACTGATATTAAACTGAGGGGGTCTGTGGTAAATTTCGTTGGGGACATGTTAGCCCTGGAGCTGAGGAGCTAGCCTGTAGACTGGCCCTGGCAACAATCTGGCACCCAGAGTACTTCTTACGCAAAGGACCTTTTTGAACATCACAATTAGGGCACATGATTTCACAACACAAAGAATGCACTGAAAAGTACCAAATGATTTAGACAACGCGCCTTAAGCTTACTTCCATGAATGTTCCCTCGGCCTTGCAGATGTAGTAGATTCCCGGTAGGGGGATGACGACCAGCGATGTGAGCGTCATGAGCCAGCCCAGCGCCTGGCCTGAGGTCGGGAACTCCAGCCGCCCGCCGTAGATCGCAGGCTTGATGCCGATCAGGTAGAACAGCAGGATCGCCTGGGGACGAGTTCGAGCGGCAAGATTATTCGGGAACGAGAATGATGCAGTTTGTATCCACGTGGCTATGACGTAACGTTACATACTGTCCGCTATCACCGATTGCGTTGTAACTTCTCTTCCATGTTCTACTACTACTAGCTAGCATATGCATGTCTTCCATGACGTCACGCTGTACTCAAGGAGTATGTCGGCAGAACAGTAATGTATATTGTGCATAACACTACGACAGAACGTCTCATTCAAGGATTACGAGGTGATGTTTCTTTATTTTTATGCAATACCAAAATTTACGTAGCAGCAACTTAAAGAGCAGTAATGGTCAAAAAATGTGTCCGTTCTAGGACGAGCTTCACCGCCTCTGGCGGGACCACGTCGGCATTCGGCCGAGATACGCTGGGAGGGGGGCACCAGCAAGCAGGTCGTTGATCTCTGTTATTAATAACACTCTACCTTGGTGGTTTTCATCAAACAACAATGAATGCAGTTTCGGAGAATCGTGATCGGGCACGGTTTGAAAGGAATGTATGGCACGTGGACCAGATGTGAGAAATGCGAGTTACCCGAATCGCGGTTTGGGTGGTTTCATATGAACAAGGCCTTTAATACTCACCAAAAGGACGGCAGGAGTGAGGAACTTCCAGCACAGCCACCACCACCGGTTCGGCCTGAACCCGATCATCATCTCAATATCCCGGAAGAAGTTCTCCGTTCCTGGAAGCAGTAGGTCAAGCAAGGTCAAAAACAAAGGTGTGAAGGTCAAATAAATACAAAATCACAAATGAATTAGAATTAGATATTAGAGAAATGAATTACAAGGTAAGAAATTAGACAAATGTGTCAGTCTAAAAGTTACTTGGCTAATATTTTTACTGATTTATAATACATATATTGAACATAAATTATGATAAATTTAATTATCATGAGAAGAGTTAGCTTGATTGGCTCTCAAGCTTGACATGCTTAATTCCAAGGGAGCAGATTGGGGTGGGGGAGGGGGGTGTACCACAGGGCATGTTAGCTGGATAGGAGAAAGTTGACGACGTATACACCTACCAGGATGGGGGGTAATTCTAATTTCAGGAAATAGACCACTGAACGACAAGCGACGTCTCTACTGAATAGAGCATGCAGGTAGGTGACGGGGAGTGGTCACTTGTTCTTCAGTGGTCTTATTTGGCTTCACGGAGCACAGATTTTTTTTCGCATGTCAAAACGAATTACAAGTACCTAAAAGACCTATAACTATTCCTGGATATATTGTGTGTCTGGTGATCTATGAAGCTTTGAAATGTTTGTTACACCAAGAAAGTTACGTTATTGGTTTTACGTTATTACGTTATTACGTTATTTGTTTGTGGTTTAGGACCATGATTGAAAAAAAAAAGCTATAGCTATCTTGGTCTATCGAAGAAATGATTAGATTTGTGAGGCCCTTGGTACTTCCCTTGGTACTGCAACTGGACTGCCAGTGTTCAATCGCATGTTGGTTGTTTCACTATATCGCTATATATTTTGGATCGCTTTTTTTCAGATTGCAAGGATGTCCTTGTGCATGCCCGTATCCAGGATTTTGAATGGGGGGGGGGGTTCTTCCTACTGCTTGAGGGGACCTCGAGCGCCGATGGTCCTTGGGGGGTCCGGGGGTATGCTCCCCCGGAAATTTTGAAAAATGAACCTTCTAAAATGGCATTTCATGCATTTTTGAGAGGATTTCCAAGAAAAAAAATCAGAGATAAATTTTCATTCAATGACAAAAGGAGCAGTTTTTCTACGATTCCAGTCCATCTTTTCAAAAAAAATCTTGGACCTTTACATAAAAAGTGGACCAAAAACTGGACCTTTACATAAAAAGTGGACCAAAAACTGGACCTTTGAGCCTTGTGGGGGGGGTTCTTCCAAACCCCCCCTGGCTACGGGCATGTTGTGTAAGACGTGATTTTCCTCCATCATTCACCCACCCACCCTCTCTGTTGTATTCGGCAACGTTAACTCTACGACCACAGTGACAAAACGATATGAACGGTTTGACAGCGAAAAAAAAGTGCTCTGTGCTCCGCCAGGTCCAATTAGAACTACCGTAAATCCAGGCGATGACGATACACTCGACCAGACCAATAATCATCAGGCTGAAGCCGGCTGACCAATCATTCATCAGCTCAACCATGTAATTCCCGCCCTGGGAAAAGGATGCACGGTTACCATGGAGATCAGACGACATTTGCGCAGAGCGCCACGGACGATATTCGCGCCAAGGTCAAGAGTCTGCTCTGATTGGTTGGCTTGCGTAATTGGCACAAGGGTGGTAGAGGTTGTCAGGACATTTCTTCACACTCTTGAAACATCAAGATCTTTCATTTTTTCCATCACCATTTTCAATAGTTTAGCCTTATTTCAAACTTCAGGACCGAAAATGAAAGATTACACCACGGTAAATACCTAATGACGACATCCAATCAGAGCAAAGTTCTCGTAGAAGCGTCATTTCCGTTTCCTGATCGAGCAAAGCAAAGCCCTGAAACAAAATGGCGGCGCGGGGTTAAAGGTTATTACCGTAGATCCAGCCTATGGCTATAACCTCGATAAGCCCGATGACCATTAGGCTAAGGCCCGCCGCCCAGTCGTTCATAAGTTCCACCATGTAGTTTCCTCCCTGCGAGAATGGATGTGTAGAAAGGCAGTGGTTTAAAATTGGATTTTAAAAATGGGACACGTTTCCTAACAACAGGTACAATGTCAATGTGCCACAAAAATGAAGGACAGGTACCATGGATACGTATGTGATAGTAGCTCTATAATAGGTTTCTGAGGTAGTTACAGTGCATATTGCATGTTCATATTCAATATATCACCTACATTGAGCACCTGTATGATACTTAACACTTCCCTCACTTTTGTAATATATAAGTATCACCTGACTCACCTGTGTAATGCAGGGGATGCCCAGTAGGAAAAAGACGAGGCAGACCAGCCCAGTGACCAGCATTCTTTTCGACATGAGTCTCTCCGGAAATTCGTCAATGATTGACGTCACTATCGTCTGAATGATCGCAAACTGGGAAAACAAAATGGTTCTTTTATGGAGAATGATGTGCAAATATCTTTCAGCTGTAGGGTATCTTGTAGTCGATATATCATTCAAAACTTCACGATAGAAAAATTTGCAGTCTCGGTCGCCATTTTTGATTCTGCTCACGCGAGAGCACAGTCGACCTGACGAGAACATGCGAGAGTTTGCGCCAAAATGAGACTCCAAATTTGTTATGGTAGCAGAACACAGTTTTCGCCCTATGGGGATTTCTATAGTTAAGGACCCCAACTTGACTCACTTCGACGCGGTAAAAATTATAGCAGGGTGCACTTCACAAATACGAAAATCGAATGTGTTTGAGAAGAAGGCAAAAACTACAAAATATCTAGAAACCAAAAAATCCTGTCGGCGTATCTGCTCGTAACGTACACTTTGAAATCGCCCTCTACGGACGTGACCTGAACTGCAGCCGACTCACCCGGAAAGCCAGTTGCACAATACGGCGCATTTATCCACGAACTGCAAAACCTTCACAATTCAAATCATACAGTCTCAAACCCGATACATTCCTACACCACACCACACAGCACAATTTACATCTGGCTGACGCTCTTATCAGGCTTTCTACCCAGCCTTCAAGAATATTCGCTGTACTACTTTCTATACCCGCGTCACAGATGTGACCCCGGGGGTGACCCATTAATACTGTGTGCTGCTACATTATGCCGTGCGCAGCTAGCTGAATATCACCCACCTGTGTGCCCAACCCAAGAGACAACAGCATGAAGAAGAAGAGCGCGGACCACAGAGGAGAGATGGGGAGCCGGGCCACTGCCTCGGGGTACGTCACGAAGGCAAGACCGGATCCTACAGGACAACACATAACGTAAGGTAGAATACTTCAGGGAATGACTGTAGATTTATAGTCAGTTGTTCTTTACATTATGTTTTTCACGTACGCAAAACAGAGAGGTCTCTAAAAGCCAGGTTTCAAGAACATACACGGCCTAGCTCTGCCAGTTCAGAGGTGTCTCAACACATCCACCTAGAGTCACCCGGACATTTTGTTTCACTTGACACTGTAAGGATTTTAGACACTGAACAAGACTATTTCTTGAGAGGGGTGAAGGAAGCCATATACGTCAGGGCCCATCACCCTACATTGAACCGCGACGGGGACCGACATCGTCTACCAGATAACCTTTGACCCAGTGTTGACGTCACACTTCAAAGAAGCCACGTGACAAGCTTAACTGGGTCAGTCTACTGAGGAAGACCAGAGTGACTGGTCGAAAGCTCCAGGTTAGAGAATTTTTTGTGTTGGACCAAAAGTTTTAACTTTAAGCACGTAAGGTAGAATACTTCAGGGAATGACTGTAGATTTATAGTCAGTCGTTCTTTACATTATGTTTTTCACGTACGCAAAATTTTGCGTCCTTGAAGCACATAAACGTATTTTCTTCTATAGAAACTGAAGATTTATCAGTGTGTTGGTGGTTTGAGTACTATGTGGGTCAGTTATCCTGAACTTCGAAGGCAGTCGAAGCCGAAATGTTTATAGGCAAGTTTTCTGAAATCGTACCTTTATCTGCCACATCCTTGACGTCCACGCCCATCTCATTCGCCATGAAGCCCAGGATGGAGAAGATAACGAAGCCGGCGTAGATGCTGGTGGCGCAGTTCGTCACAGACACGATTATAGAGTCTCTGTAGAAACGTAGACGGGAAACAAAATTCAACCCATCACCCTACACTGAACCGCGACGGGGGCCGACATCGTCTACCAGATACCTTTGACCCAGTGTTGACGTCACACTTCAAAGAAACCACGTGACAAGCTTCACTGGGTCAGTCTACTGAGGAAGACCAGAGTGACTGGTCGAAAGCTCTAGGTGAGAGAATTTTTGTATTGGACCAAAAGTTTTAACTTTAAACAACTTCAACTCAAGTTCAACTGTTAGTTACCAAGGCAACAACGGGGCCTTTTTCGTTCTTTTCTTTTGATCAATCTGTCCTTGATATCTTTTTATACTCAGATATCTCTCTTCCATTCTTCATAGACTCAAATACAAACTTCCACCATCTCGGAATCTAGAGCAAAGAATGAAACAAACAGAACTGAAAACAAGATGGCGGACTCAAACACACAGATACACACGCAGACACTCTCTATCACACACACAGAGCAACTAAATGTGACCCCTTGTAACAATGAGGGTACGGGGGGGGGGGGCATGTGACTCTATACACACCTATAGCAGTTCTGACTGAATTTGTTGTAGCTGGCCATACTGATGAGCCCTCCCCACGCCACGGACAGAGAGAAAAAGATCTGGATACCGGCGTCTCCCCACACCTGCCAGAACAATACAGGGGTATATGTTGATCAATTTGCGTCATAAAACTCATAAATATATTATCATTATGGCTTGCCTTAATCAGGAACATGAAGTTTCCGATCTCGATCAACGGATTGGCCTTGGGCAATACATCAACACGTTATGATACATTTTTACTGTTGCCATCATATAACTGCAGTTCATCGAACGCCCGCATGGTGCGTACAGAGTTCATCAGACCAACCTCCGCGTCTTGTAGCCGGCTGAAGTCCGGCGTGACGTAGAACTTTATGCCGTCGATGGCGCCGTCCATTATGGAGCATCGGATGAGCAGGATGGTCAGCACGATGTAGGGGAATGTGGAGGTGAAGTACACAACCTGTGGGGGGCAAAAATTCGTGCGATTCACTGGACAAAATATATCATTTACTCACACCTACTAGAGGGCCTGCAAGGGGGGGGGTCCCGACAACGCTTTACGCTGAATTCGGAAACCCTTGATTACGCTTTACGATAAATTCCAAGTGGCTACAACGCATTACGTAGAATTAAAACAGCGAATACGCTCTACGCAAAATGCGAAGAGCGGTCCGTCTACGCTCTACGTAGAATTAGAACGGCTGATTACGCTCTACGGAAAAGGGCTCGCGGGCCCCCCTACTAGCATGCGTAAAGATTCCTTTTCTTCCCTTGCGTCTACCTTTACGCAAGCTTTAAGGTTTGCTTATAAGATTTCGTGCAGTGATTATACCATACGTAAGTGTAACACAATCGGCCCCATCGTTCTGGTTAGAACAGTACGACTGTAACTGAACAGTGCGACTGTAACTATTGTTACGAAGGCCCAGAACTACATTTTCCGTAGCCTCCGTGAAACATCTATATCTAGAGTCTGTTCGTACCTTCCCTGCGCTCTGAACGCCCTTGATGAGACAGAAGAAGACCAGCAGCCAGGCCAGCAGCAGACACAGACACAGGTACCACACCACCTCACCCGGGTAGTCAAACCCTTCTGACAGCTGCAGTACACCGTTTCTAGACAAACAAACACAAAACCAAACATGTTTAATGTTAAAACGTTTGATGCAACACAAAAATTCTCTCACCTAGAGCTTTCGACCAGTCACTCTGGTATTCCTCAGTAGACTGACCCAGTCTACTGAGGAAGACCAGAGTGACTGGTCGAAAGCTCTAGGTGAGAGAATTTTTGTGTTGGATCAAACGTTTTAACTTAAAACATGTAACTACCAACACAGATGAACTTTCATGATAGTACAAAACCAAACAGTCATACACAGGTGGTCAAACTTCAAACGTTCTATTCAATACAACGTGAAAACGTAACATCAACAGTGGCTCAAATGTGCCAGGTAGTTCGTAACGACCTCCGTCCCATTCATAGGACCCTTGACCTGCTGTTGACTATATCCTTCAGTTCAAAAAAATCCAAATGCAAACAGGAGGCATGTTGAAGTAGAGGGAATTTAGCTGTTTGGAAGTTTGGAAGTATGTAAAGGATGACTTCACATGCATCTTTAACTCAACAACATGGCGGATGCTAAATACGTCATAGTCACGTGACTGCCAACTCCCTTTGCTCTAAGTGAACGTTCCCGAGCACGTCGGCAGAACGTACTGCACCTGCGCGAAACCCATAATGTACACAGCACTTCGGCAGAATGTCTCATATAAGGTTGTATTCACTCATATAAGGTTAGCATTTCGACAGTCATTTCCAAATGTTGTGTCGGAAAGAATATCCTCTGCAACAGGCAAAACTCTGATGCAACGTTGACCAAAAATCCAAAGAAAAACGCGAAAATACGGGGTTCTGTGCAGGCGCAGTACGTTCTGTCGACGTGCTACGTTCCCGTAACTTTACCTCCAGTACTCCTCGGAGGCGCTGACGGGTCTGGTAGCCGTGTGGTTGACGGTTGTGTTGAGGAGGGATGAATTTGCGAAAAGGGACGAGTTTGTCGCGTTGCCCCCCGCGACAGACCGGTCCTGTATGCAGGCGTCCGTGTTCCAGGGGTTATTACAGGTCAACCACGGCAGCGTGGCCGTGAAGGAGGCGAACAGGTAGTACAGGGTGTAGGCGATAACCACGTTATAGTAGATCCCTACCATCATGGAGATGGCCACCATGGCATATCCCACTCCTGCAGACAGGACGGAAGGAATGAAAGAACGAGCGAATAAATGATAGGATGGAGAGAATGTGTTACACTGTTACACTCAGTTAGCACTGTTACACTGTTACAAATGAATGAAGCAGTGACAAAAGGTGTATACGTTAACATTATAAACATCCCGGTAAATGTTCGAAACTTTGCTGGGTCAATTATATCTATGTTGCCACTTATTTCGTAAGGAAGACTGAAAAACTATTTCTTACACAAGGCAATATGCCTGTACAACGAGTCTTTGCAGTAATGACTTTCAAGTCTCTCTGGACTTTATTTCAGTGCCCATGTGTAGCTTTGTAACATGTTTGTTTGCGTGTCTGTATATGTATTGTCATGTTAATGTGTATTTGTATTTACTATGTACAAAATTGTAAAAATCAGTGTTATTCAGCTTGGTTGACATGTGAACTGGCTGCAAGGCTGATTTTATTAATAAAACTTGAACTTGAAATGAAATTCCCAGATTTTTCGTGTGCTGCATGAAAATAATAACGCTCCAGGCGGTCGCGCCATGCGGTGCAGGGACGTGATTGTCGCATGCGCCCTTTGCTAAATTATGCACGGACCAGTACTACATAACAGACATTGCGTGCCTAAAAATGCCGAAAACGTCTGGTGGAAAGTTACTGACTGTGTGTCATGATAACCACGTGGCTGTCCCACATACCGAATCCAAATCATACCAACTGGTTTCTGGATACCCAAACAAATGTCCTGGGCAACGGCCCAACAACGGCCTGGGCCCATGCGTTGTATGGTGTATGGTGGTACCAGTCTGCTGTGTCTGTGTTTCTGTACATGTAAACCGTACCCTTGTATAGCACACCATTCTGTAATTTAAGTACTACTTGGAAGTCGTTCAGTGACAGACGAAGAATGTCCAGACTGTGCATGATGTACAAAATGACTAATAAACTGGTGGACGTACCAACCACTAAGTATCTGATAACAGCCCAGAAAAGAACAAGAAACAGTCATGCCTTCAAATATCAGAGTTATCAACCAAGAATTGAGGTGTTCAAAAACTCGTATTTCCCCAGAACTATCGTAGACTGGAACTCGTTGCCACCAAGCACAGTTGGGGCATCATCACTAGAAAGCTTTAAACAACTCCTGCAATCAAATGTGCAAAGATTGAGTGTAACAAGTCGTTCGGTGTGATATAGCTAGCTGCCGCCGCGCCGCGTGCCTGCGAAGCTGGTGTGTTACGCCGAAGGGCGGTTATACCGGCTATACCGATACAGATACAGAGCACAGGTTGTGCCAGGCAGGAACCGGGACGAGCCGAAACCCTTTTAGCATTTTAGAGAAGTGTGACGTAAATTTTTAGGCAAGAGGTAACCAAGGACCCTAACAGAGATTAATGTCTTTTTCCGCCCTGAGACGCTAGTTCCTACGTTGTTTATTGTTTATTGTTTATTGTTTATTTAAATTTTTCACAAAGTGAAAGGGAGGGCAAAACAGGTGCGAAGCACCTTTGCTAGTTGCCCTCCCACATACAAAAACAACAAGAATGTACATTACACAGTCAACAATCAATAATACAAGTAGGGCACAAAATATCATATAAACATAATCAAGGTAACAACAATGAATGGAAGAGATAACCATATCGGAATGATATCTAGTGAGGTCTTGAGGCAATACAAGAGCTGCATCCACACGAAGTGGTCCAGGTACATGGCAGATCAAGACTGTATTGAGTGTTGAATCTGTTGTAGGCTACTTTTGCCAGTTTATGTTTAAATGCTATGATATCAGACTGATGAGCGGCTCGCACACCAGTACCACGAAGGTCAGATAGTTACAAGTCTGGGAATGTAGGAGTGACTGAACGCTGACGTCTTAGATCTGACAGGAGTAAGCATGTACGACCTAAGACTCCTCGTGGGTCTGGTGGGAAGTGTGATATATTTCTCTATGATTGCTCTTGATTTGACAAATAACATTATATCGCATACCTCACGCCTACATGTAAGTGGCAACAGCCCTGTTGTTGCTAGCCTTTCCTTGTAGGTAAGGTGACTAGCCTGAGGGCCCAGAATGAATATGGTTGCCCGGCGTTGAACCCCTTCAATTAGAGACATAAATTTACGAGAATGTGGCGACCACAATGGGGAGCAATAGTCAAGAATGCTTCTGACCAGTGTGGTGTATAGAGCTTTCTTAACATCAGTGTTAGCATTGAAACCAACAGTCCGTTTGATGAAGCCAATCATGGAATTCGTCTTGGCAACCATTTTCACTATGTGGCTGTTGACTTGCTAGATTTGCTACGTTCTTTTTACTTAAAGACGTCAACAGAACAACCAGAAGATACTCTGTAAAGACTGGGCCTGTGCTGTAGGGGGGGGGGAGGTCCCGACAACGCTCTACGCTGAATTCGGAAACCTCTCGATTTCGCTTTACGATAAATTCCAAGTGGCTACAACGCATTACGTAGAATTTAAACGCCGAATACGCTCTACGCAAAAATATTAGAGCGGTCCGTCTACGCTCTACGTAGAATTAAAACGACCGATTACGCTCTACGGAAAAGCTAAGGGCTTGCAGGCCCCCTGTAAAGAGTCAACCCTATATAAAAGACGGAAACACGACAGACATACTGCTACTGAGGGCACTTTACGACTTTGAGTGGTTTTGCGATAATCTAGCAAGTCAACTGGCTACCTGCAACAGAGTTGTCTCGTACAGTGAAAAATGGTTCTCTGCGACATGTTTATCTTTATCACTTTGCCCTGTCAACACACGGAAAAGGCCTGCCAGGATCAGACTTTTCATGAAAGACAAAAAGTGAACTTAACTCACAGGTCAGTTCTTAGAAAAACAAACTTCCTGCCTTCCCTTCCAAAATAAACCCAGCTGAAAGAATCCAATGTATGTATGTAAAATGCAAAACCGTACTGAATGACATGAAGCACTGTGTTGTCGTCCAGCTAGACAAGACTGACCACTAGAAAAGCGATAACAGGGCAGACTTGGCAAGACTTCATTTGATCATTGCCCTTGATATTCCTCCTCTGTAAAGCTGTTAGATATAAAATGGGTAGTTAGCATCATAGGTGGGTGGGTACATAAACAAACACTGTGGCTGCTTGCCCATCAGAAAGTCATTAGCGGAGACATAAAAATACCCCGCCTGACCCTGGGGTGACCCTGGAACAGGGGAACATTCTTCTGTCCTTGATGACAAACAGAGCAGGTATGCCGTGGGGGATGCCGGGAGAGGGTTGTCCTCGTTTGCAGGTCGCATCTGGTCTCTGACAGGGAGCTACTGTTTTCCCGCCAAATGTGACGCACTTTTCAGACGACACGAGCTACTGTTTCCCGCCAAATGGACACACTTTTCAGACGACAAGATATTGTTTCGCGCCAAATGTGACGCACTTTTCAGACGACACGAGCTACTGTTTTCCCGCCAAATGTGGAGTACTTTAATTCAGACGACACAAACTACTGCTTGACTTGACTTGTTTCTCGCCAAATGTGAGATATCCTTCAGACACCATATTAGAAGCTTACTGTTTTTCACCAAATTTTTATCGTTTATACCAGCGAAAGGAGCAACTGTTTTCTCTCAGTCACTGATGACTCACTGATTTTCACTGATGCAAACGATACTATACTAGTTTCCCGCCAAATGTCAGGTCCTTTTCATAACCACTGATACAGACGGCTTGATCTTTACAGCCACTATTTTCCCGCCAAAATCATGTTTAATTTTATGCCCTTTCGCAGTCACTAACGCAGACGCCTGGACGACAGCAGGCCACAGTCTAGAAGTTACGATAAAGTGCAGACGACAGTCTGTGTGTGTGAATGCATGTATGTGTGCGTGAGTGTACATATGTGTAAATATGTATGTGTGCGCGCGCGCGCAATTATGTGTAACATTATGTTTTTGTGTTGTGTGTATGTCTGTGTATTTGTGTGTCTGTATGTGTATCTGTGCGTGTCTGTTTGTTTCTGTGCGAATGTGTACAAGCATGCGTGCGTTACAAGGTAGTCCATACCTTTGAATATCGGACTTATTCTCCATATACTGACAGGTCCCAGACTGGAGAACTGTCCGAAGGCGAGCTCGAGGTAGAACAGAGGCAGTCCGGCGAAGGCCAGCATGAAGATGTACGGGACAAGGAACGCACCTGTAGACAAAAGGAAAACATGGAAGTATTATTGAATGAAAATAAGGAAACCAATTCCCACTGGTTGAATGATAAATAAAAAGTATTTGCATTAGTTAGGTTAAGCCTTCTAAAAATGTAGTTAATATGTGCAAAGTAGATGTCATAGTTTGTACCCTGTAGAACTGTTGTGCAATAAAGTTATCTCTATAAAAAAGTGTAAAAATCTCGTAAACCTAGTATGCACCCCCCACCCCCAACACGCACACTTTATAAAGGTAAAGGCGAAGGCAACAATTCAATGTTGAGACCTTTGTACCTCCTAAAACCTCCAGTTGAAGAGGCTATTTGGGGTTTCTAGGCTAGCAATGAAGAGGCTGTTATCGTACAAGCCACATGATTCTCAATAGGATATTACTAGGGCTGATATGTTTAATGTCAAGGTCCTATCGGGCAGTCTAGATAGTTTTGCTGCATCTTTACTTTGGACCCAATCAGCCCAATTTGTACATACCTACTAGAAATATTTATGATACTTGATCATGGTAGTCAGGCTACCGTGCACGGAGGTGTAACGTCAAACATAGAAGCGCATGTGGCACAAATATCAGATTTGTGTGAATATATGTAACTTTATTTTCCAATTATTATTATCTTTTGTCAAAATGAACGATATCTGTGCAGCCGTATGGCACACGTGTTGATCCCATAAGGACACACCACCGGGAAGTGCTTCCGGTGTCAGGACACAGCCGGGGAAGTGTTTCCGGTAAAAAAGCTTTCATTCTAACGTTTCCGGATATCAAAGGCACTTCCACCGAGGACGGGTGTTTTGCTGTGATTTGGGAACCAAGGACGTTTGTTTTTCTTGTCAAACTTCAGAAAGTTCAAAAGTCAGCTCACTAATTCTGAAGATAGCTCAATGATTCTCATTCACAAGTCAAACATGACTCGAGACATACACCCTTAGGCCATACCAATTTCTTGGTTAACGAATTTTTCTAGAAAAATAATGGAGCGGGCGGGCGAAAAAAATATAATAAAAACAGGCCTAGGCATCCTATTATGGCCCAAAATGGTACGATAGGAGCCATGAAGTCAACACACCAGGCTGGAATTTTGAACTTTTAATGATACCATTGCATTGAAAGATTGAATAACTGTAACAACTAGGATGAATATAACTGTTTTCAACTGTTCAGGGCGAAATATAAGCATTTTGATTCTGAATTTTTATTTTTAATTGTAAATCAGAAATAAATGAAGCGGGCGAATCCGTTAACCAAGAAATTAAATTGGTATGGCCTTAGCGAAGGTTAGTAAAATTGGTAGCCAAGCTGATATCATGGCCATGGTCACGTCTAGCACTTGGAATTGAGACAAAACAATATACCAGCAGTATCACGTCATCCTGGCACATGTGTGTTCCGCTTTTGTTGCGAACCATAACCCGATAACCTCTGGCATTAAAAACGTGTTTCTGTGCCAAAACGGAAGGTCGCCCAACAGTTTATGGTCGAGTTGTATCTTTCCAAAATATTCAGGGACTGCAGCCTTCCAAAATAGACCGGGATGGTAACTTGCCAAAGGTTGCAACCTGACGGAATATCTGAGCGTTGTAACTATCTCACGTATTCAGGGGTCGACACCTTACAACATTTTCAGGCGTTGTAACTTTCCACCTCGATTCTTCCAAAATATCAACGACTTAAAAAGTGCCGATTCAAGGGGTTGTAACGTTAAAAAAGCGTTGTAACTATCCCACGTATTCAGGGGTCGACACCTTACAACATTTTCAGGCGTTGTAACTTTCCACTTCGATTCATCCAAAATATCAACGACTTAAAAAGTGCCGATTCAAGGGGTTGTAACGTTAAAAAACTAAAATTAGCCCAGTAGACTGCGAGTGGTTTACAGTCGTTGTTATCTAATCTTTACTTCTGTACGTAAGAAAATACGTGCAAAAGTACAGGCTGTATATGTACACGTTTGTACAGTTTATAGCAGATACGTATCCATCCATATCACGTATAAAATATCAAATGCCAATATAAACGTTCACCGGTGTTTATAATTCATTAAAGTTTCATTGCGTGGCGGTATAGATTTAAGTCATGTTTGACTGAGACAAATAACGGTGTTTTAAATCTCGTTTGTCAAGCTGATATGAGTGTAAATTTATATCCTGTCTACGTCTTTTGTGTGGGGCGATTGTATCATAATTACTCTAGATCCAAGACTGGTGAATACCTCCGTAACCAAACAATATTGGAATGACTACGCACAAAATAAGCGTGTTCTAGAGCATTGGCCCTTCGACTGACGCTGAGGTGGCGATTACAATGGAAATCGCTGAATCACAGGTAGAGTTAATTTTTCACCGAGCTGGGATATTGTCGACTTTACAAAGGCTTTGGACCTATTCATAATGTTGAACCTATTCGGTCACATGGGATTTTCTATGGGAGGAACATGGTCCTTTCCTTTTCTTACGTTTATGTATACTTAGTCACGTGTAACTAACACAGGCACAATCTTTTATTAATCCCAGCAATGGGGCTAAGTAGAAAATGAAGAAGAAGGAAAAGAAGGAGAGATCAACGTCACTTGTTTTGATGTTTTGGTCATGCTACTCGTAGCGTACATGCTAGCTACGCACATATATGTAAGCTACTAGCTAGCTATATATGTAAGCTACTAGCTTGGAAGCATACACTACCAGAGTAAAACAATACGTTTTCCTTGTGTAATTTTATCATTTTCTTAACTGTAGTTAAGTAAGTTAACTGTAACTTAAGTTTCAAAAATGTGAAGGAAATGAAAGGCTCTATTTGTTTGATTTGGCAGTTTTTCGTGTGCGTCATTTTGAGACATCGGCCAATGCCCAGGCTCGGGGAACCATTTTTGTCCTGTAGCACGTGATGGAAGTTTCCACATCAAAATTTTACAAACCTGCGCATGTTCAAAGAAACCTGCCTACCCACCCTCGTGTGCCTATTGGAGGGCCTGCATGGGGGGTAGCTAGATTACGAATTACGCAAAATTTTCGCCGCCGATTACGAATTGCGTTAAAGTCTCAGAGCTGATTACGACTTAACGATTTGCGGCTTGTGTCCTATTACGAATTACGTTGACTTTTGCGAAGGCTGCCTACGAATTACGAAGTCTAAAAAGGCCTGATTACGCCTTTCGAAAAAGGGCACACAGGCCCTCCTATTGGTGTCGGTGTGACAGTGTGATGGAAGTTTCCGCGACACAAATTTTGTGCCTTGAAAGTTGAGACTTGATCGGTCCATTTATAGCCGGCCGTCGTGCCGGACGACCACTTAGTCATGTCCATATGCCCCGCCATTTTTCACCCCTGTCGACAGACCGTGCTTATGCCGGTGACATGGGAATGAGTGGGGGTCGCTGCACCCTGCCTGTCACACGGATGGTGGGTGGGTGGGTGGTGATTTTCAGGCAGATGCCTGTCTCTTCCTTTCGCTTTCCCTTTGCGTCTCTACACGCCGTAGCGTGTCTTTCCGGTATTTTTCGAAGGATGAAATTTGGGTAAATTTAAAAGAAAAATTCCAGTGCAAAAAAAGAAACCCCGATAAAAAAAGTCTAAAAACACGTAACCCCCCCCC